AGCCAGGAGTCCAGATTGGGCCTCTCTCCCTCCCTCAAAGGAGCAGCCAGGCGGCTCCGAGCATTAAGGAGGTTGTGAGTGGCCAACGCAGCGCAGTGATACTTACTACAGCTGTCTTCCCTTCTTGGATCTCCACCACTACAGAGATAAAGGGGAAAAATTAGGTCAGCCATTTAATAAGGAACAGGGAGTTTCAAATAACAGCTCAAATTCTACACAGGCAAAGGAGAGGAGCCTACAGTCTGCACTCTCCCACGGTCCCTGCCTGGGACAGAAAGCGGGCTGTGGGCAAGCCTGGGATGCTCAGGGTGCAGCATCTCTCTGGGATTAAGGGTCTCCATGCTGTTTTGTTGCCCCCCCTGAAGCAACATCCTGATTCTGTCTTCAAGAATTGGCAAACTGAATAGCTGTGGCAGGAAAATTGCTATAAGTTTGAGGCCAGCCTGGGCTACAAAGTATGACTGTTTCAAAGACTTTAAGCAAAGAGGGACAAGAACCTATCTTATGTGGCAAAAACAGCTGAAAGTGTTTGGAGCAGCAGGCCTGAAGGGATCAGAAGTACTCCTAACACATGTCCCTTTACAGACTGAATCAGACCAAAGTAGCTTTGCAACCTAAAACACAGAACTGTGTTCCAGAGGTGGCTTTTCAAGGAGACAAATCCAATCCCAAAACTTATCATGAGAATCCTGTGTCAAGACTGCATGAAACTGGCCACGAGGGGAATGTTCTCGGCTCCATTCTCTGCATCTCTCCCTGAAGAGTTACGTTCTATTGTCACACCAGAGAAAGGGATGGAAGAGGCAGCAATCAGGAGCCCGATGGCAGCAGGTTCAGCAGGGCTTCAGGACACACTGCTATTCTAGACTGAGGGCAGGCAACCCAGGGCCTACTGATGCCTGAGCTGGGCAGGAAAGAAGGGGAGGCAAGGCCACCAGCTGCACACATCTGTCAGGCGACACACATTTCCCATCTCACCTAACTCATCATTGGGATAATGAATGACAAAGCCAATGGTGATCAAAATTGCCAGCTCACACACAGCAACTGTTGTTGGAGAGTCTCCCATGCGCCTGGCTTTTTAGAGAGAGTCGCAGCTGCTAGCATGGACTGGTGCACACCAAATGCTCAATGAACGCTATGTTTAAGGAGTGACACAATCACCATTGTCTCCTTTAACTGCTAGCTTCTACAGTGAGGAGCTTGAGCCCACACAATCTGCAAACCATCTCTCCAGATACTAAAACTGTTTACAAAGTAGTCTGGCTACCACAGTTTAGTTTGACTTAGCTCTGGCTAACACAAGAAGGAATACAGATTAGAAAAGTGCCTAAGGTCCTTGACTTTGAGAATTCGGCAGGCGTTAAAGACTTCTTCCTAGGAAAAATATCCACCTGCAATTACACCATTGACCATGGGCTGCAGGAGGCTCACAGCCACTGTGGAGTGTATGTTAGAGACCCCGCTATGCCTCAGAGGCAAAAGGGGGGAAAAATCTGTTTCTTCTTTTTGCCTGCTATGTTTTCTAAAATAAACATATATTGCTTCTGCAAAAACATAAGCAACAACAAGAGAAGAGTCTAAAGAAAAAAGGCAACGCTAACCTAACCAGAGCCCATGTCAGCATCTGTGATCAATGAGCTCTATGACCGACACCTAATTGAACACAGGCTGCTTGGAATTATTCCTCATTTGTTTTCTGGGCAAACCATTCATAAAGAATCATTACTCCAAACAACCAAACTGAGAGCCTTCCATGCCCAACTCCAGACACACATAAGTGAAACAATGACCAGAAAAACCCAGAGGCTTTCTCCGGAGAACATTGTAGCCACTAATCAGAACTAGGTTCCTTGTGTACAAGAAACTGCGTCACCTCACACATGGTTCTACTTGTCCAGAACAGAGACCAACCCATGAACGGGATGTGGGTGAGACTCAACCTGGTTGTCAGCCTAGAAGCCAGCACAGTTGCAGAGGGAAGGTCAGCACGATGTCCACTACAGAGGCCCACTCAGGGGGACCAGGGAGAGCAGGAGGGCACATCTCCAGCCCAGGAGACCCCAGCTACCCTAGAAACTTTGCTACTACATAAAACAAATTGGGGAGGGTCAGAGGGTAACCAAATGGGAGCAACAACAGGTAGGGAGGCAAATTTCTGAGAAACCTCAGGAAACAAAAGCAGGGACACATTCTGGGACCATGGGAGTCAGCACTAGGACAATGGCTTGACACACAAAGAACATAAATATGTGGTTTCCTTCTTGGTCCAGGCTCTTGGGCCCTGACCCTGAGTTAAACAAGTCTAACAAAACACACATCACTCTCGGCAAAGACTCAAACCCTGAAGTCATCCCACTGGCCCCTGGAAAAGAGATCAAAGCCCATGGCAAGCTCCACTGCTAACAAGCTCTCCCACAGCAGCCTCCAGCCAGTGAGTATCTTTCTAGAAGCTAGTGGGTAAAACAATAGGCAGATGCAAGAGAGAGACAATCTGTCAAACCAGAGGAATGACCCAAGGAGCTCCCAGGACACAGATTGATCAGGGTGGTGAGTTAGTGCAGGAAAGAAGGCTGGCTGGGGCCTGGAGAGGCCCTCAACAAATTTAAGCCCCTGGAAAAAGGAGATAGGAATCAAAAACAGTATTGATTTTCAGTGTGCATAGAAAAACATGGTAAAACCAAACAAAACCTGAGATCCATTTGTCCCTGGCCCCCTCTCCATTCAAGAGAAGTGGAGGTGGGTAAGAAAAGCTGGACTAAGAGTCAGGAACCAATAGAAAACTTACTTAGGGAAAAAATATAACCACCCCTGCGTCCTGAGACGTCAGCATGAAGTAAGCCACCAGACATGACACTGCTTTGTAAGAACTAAAGCTGCAACCTCTCAAGATGGGCAGCCCTCACACACATGACATGATCTGTAGTGTGTGCATTGAGAATCAGGAAGGGGGTGTCAGCCTCGCTCTACCTCCTGGGCAGAGGGACAGCAGCAGAGTAAGGCAGTCTCTGCCCTGGAGGAGAGAAGCAGAACAAGTATGGGAACACCCCATAATGAAGCCCATGTCCCAGAAAGAGGTCCTGTGAGCACGTCAGTAAATACTCCTAGGATGGAGTGCAGGGTAACTGAATTCTAACAGCCTGGAGCCAGTAACAATGTGGTGAGACTGCAATGGGTGCAGACGCCGTTGACGGACACATAAACCCAGGCAGCCACAGTGGACTGTGCTGTATAGAGACCCGGGTGTTTAGCAGGAAGATGAATGATGGAGGGTGCAGGACACTGCAGCAGTGAGCTGCCAAAGCAGCCAAAGCCTCAAGGATCTGTGGAAACTGAGATCCAGCCAGAGAGTGAGGGTGGCTGAAGGCAGCCCTCCCTCTGCCCCAACAG